CAAAGAATGAACTTATTTTTTCAACAATAATCAAAAAATTAATTTCTCCAACAAAACACAATACTCCACCTCTTCCAATAAATGCTGTCACACCCAAATTCTAACAAAGGGCTAAATGTTTTCTTGGTGAAACATTATGCTTTATTTTATATAATTGATACGAAAATTAGGCAAGAGGTAATGCTATTAAGAAATGTCGGAATCTAGTATAACATAGCAGAAAGGTATTGAACGATATGAATAAATTGTTTTCTGCATGATGCTATTCATGAAGCTATGGAGTCGAAAGGGAAGGCATTCACTCTAGAACATAATTTTTTTATGGGAAGGATTGACTAGTGTATTTGAATATGTAGTAAAATATGCAAAATAAAAATAAAAATAAAAATAATAATAATAATAATAATAATAATAATAATAATAATAATAATAATAATTATAATAATAATAATAATAAGGGTGTAATCGCCAACATCTAGATGTTTTTGGAAAAAATGGGGACAACCATAAACTTATTTTAGGTGATCATTGGCAATTAAAAAAAAAAATAATAATAATAATAATAATAATAATAATAATAATTATAATAATAATAATAATAAGGGTGTAATCGCCAACATCTAGAATTCTGAGTTAAAACACAATATTTTATTTGAAAAATGGCTTAATGTTAAATTTTAGATTTTTTTTTATCACCGATTTTGAAGTTTGAAATATGGTATGATCTTTTCTCTGTCTATTTAAAGCAACATATATGAAGTTATTTTTCTAGAATTTCTGTGATAATGTGCCATGTTTTCTTCGAACATATGGACATAATATCATCACCTAATAAGATCAGCAAAATAGTTAATTTGAAAAAATAAAATATTCTTGGGAAAGGTAAAAAACAGATGAACGGTATGTACTTAACAATTTACATGTAAAATAAGCATGAAGGATATAATCGACAAGTTGGAATGGGCCAATTGAATAAAATTTATAAAAGAGAATTGCGTGACAACATATGAAAACAACAAAAAACTAAGAAATATTTGCACATTCGCAGGAATGTGGGGATGCATTAGCAGGAGTAAACACATTAAACAAAAGGTCAAAGGGCAACATTGCACCCTTAACCTTCTTAAATAGTCATAATATAAATTATTATAATATAAAAGGGTCAATTAAAATTCAATGCTTGAATAGAAAAAAAGAAAGTTCATTGTTTGTTCGATTTGTGAGATTCTGATTGATATCTGATGGGATCCCTCTTTCTGAACTGTCAATATCTTTCAATATCTCTTCTTCAGATATGTTAACAAACCTAGGAAGAGGAGAATGAAGCAATGGTTTCACTCAAAACACTAAGAACGGCTACCCTCTTTCTTCATGCACTATTGCACCACACAACTCATGGTTTGGGAGGGATGTATATATATTCAAATGGATTTAGTCACATATTATTCCCGGTTTCTTGGTTAACTAACCCCCAACCAAATAACAAGGTAAATGGGCCTAACAATAATCCAAAACCACAAACCAATCACAACCACCAATCTTACTCCAACTTGGACCTTCCAAAAGTGTTAGTAGTATTCAAGTCGAGCCAAGTTTATGACGTCGATAAATTTTCGACAACTATTTTTCATCATCGCCCAAATTTATTGGGTATAAAAAACCTAACAAATCTCCACATTGATTCCCAATAAATCTGCAAGCAAACAAAACACCAAGTTTATACTTGCACAATCAAGGTAACCAATAAAATTGATATCACAAACCTTACCTTGTGTTTTGAACCCGAAACGCATACCATACCCGCTCCATGTACTCATCAGGGCTAAGGTTAAAAAAACCCAAGTAGAAGCAGATAATTATAGCAATCAATCAAGAGCAAATAAACATGAGATGAAGATATCATATATAGGGTAACACATAGATCTTTTCAAAACATGTTCACATAGAACGACATATTAACACCAAGTTAATAAACAGGCCAACACATATGCAACATATGCATAAATGACCCCATTAAAAGATCTCACCCCACTTATCCTATCTCATTACCTGTTACTCGCACCTCGAGAACACATATCTCACCTTATCTCCCATAATACTCACTAGACTAATCACTCAAAAAACATGTCTAACTGGTAAGCCTCTATAGATCCTAAGTTCTCGGGATAATCCTCTATCACCACATCACTTCTCCCAACCTACGTGGATAATGAGTCTCTACCTAACAGAAGTGATAGAAGTGTCTCTGTCACACTTCACCTTATCAGGGTCTCTTCACCGATAAATGATTTCAACATTTGATCACATCTCCACTCGTGATCCAAATGTCACACTCCACATCCCCGGTACAAACCACCAATGTACCCCTAGACATCTAAATTCTACCTTACCAAAAATACATTCACAAATACTACCAATGCATCCCAAACCTATTATGCATGAAAACAATTACACCAAGTAATAAGATCATTCCAATTCATGCCAATGCACATATCAAACACATTGAAATGCAATATATAATCATGCAATGGAATTGAGCAATCACATACATGCATAAACGATTACATACGAATGCAAATGCAGTAACTTCGTTTACACTCAATAAGCCTCATTAGGGTCATCACTCGACCCTAATGCCAAATTCGTCTCGCCTTTCAACTTACCATTCTACTTATCCTTGTTCTTCTTAGGACAGTCCCTAATAAAGTGTCCAGTCTTACCACAACTGTAACACCGTCTACCACTTGACTTGTCCTAGCTTTTGCCTTTCTTCTTACCATCATCATCACTTGAGTCACTACTCGAATCATTACTGTCTTGAGCTCTACCCAAATTCATTTGCTTAAATTTCATTCTACTCCTCATTATATACAACTCACCGTTTCTATTATCTTCTTTTTCAACCTCAATCTCTATCTCCTCACTCCTAAGGGAATCTATGACAATCTCAGGTGTTAAAAGTGTCCCTACCATACTTAATTGCATTCTTAACCTCTCTATATGAATCATGCATAAAATTTAGCAAAATGATAGCCTTATAAGTTTCAGACACCTTCTCATCACAGTTAACGATGTCTTGAATCAACTTGTTAAAAACATCCAAATTGTTATCAAGATCCTTTGAAGGATCCATTTTAAAGCTAAAAAATCTTTCAAGTAAGTACAACTTATTATGAGTAGACTTAAGCAGATATAAGTCTTCCAACTTTAGCCAAAGTTTTTATTAGAATTAAGCTTTCCAACTCTTCTCAAAATAGTGTCGGATAGGTGTAAAATAATAGAAGTGTAAGCAAGTTCGTCATATTCTTCTTTTTGTGCTTCTGTTAAATCTGCAGAAAATTTTCCATTTATGGCCTTTGAAACTTTTTGTTGAACAAAAATCTCCTTCATCTTTTGTTGCCAAATTGAAAAGTCCCATTTCCCATTGAAAATTCCAATTTCGAAATGTGAAGACATTTTGAAAAAACAAAACAACAATGCACAAATAGGTCACACGGAGTAATCGTAAGACAACAATATACACCGTTTTAGATTCTCAGGGTTTAGTAAGATTCACGATCTTAGATCAAGAGAATGTTCAAACGGGTCAAGACTAGGTGTTCTAACGATAGTGCAACACTAAGGTATATCAACAAAAATTCAAATTTCCACGCAATGCAATCTCACACAAAGACTAAACAAACAGTTAAAGTGCCTAAAATAATTACCAGCTTGCAGTCAAATTCAACACTTCAAATACGACAAATAATTTCTAAATTTCTAGCATAAGCAATTGTTACCCCTTCACGGTAACCCCAATCCTAATGTCACCCCACATGATGATTCACTAATGCTGGAATTTAAACGGGATAAGCCAATTTACCAGAGCGGAACTATCTGAGTCCGTAAATTACGAGATAAGTGAACTTATCAATTTTTCTCCAGGAACTACATCAACCAATCGAAAATTGAATTACGAACGCAGGAGCAAAATCGTCCAAATTTCATTATATACCCTGAAACCCAAAAATAACAACACAGAATCGTTAGAAAAATCAAAATAAAGATTCTATCTGAAGGAAGTTTCACTGGGACGAGCCCTACGCGCCGCTGGAGAAGCTCATGCACCGGCCACCCAGCACCTTCTCCATTTGTTGATCCTTCCTGTGGTATTGGATTCTTCAAATGGCTACTGGTTTGGCCAACAGCGAGGTTGCAGGTCCGATTTTGGGGTAAGCCAAAACCACCAAAAAACTGCTCTAATACCAAATGTTGGATTTTAGTGCTCCAAACTTCACTTCCCGGGCTCAGAAATAACTACAATCGACTCCACACGCCTCAAGCTCGAACCAATACTTTCCTCCACCCAATTACCACAAGTCTCACTCTTATATTAACCCCCAAAGGATCAATAATGGTAGATGTAATTAAACACAAAGGAAGGAAGAGGAGAAGGAAGCAATGGTTTCACTCAAAACACCAAAAACGATTACTCTCTTTTTTCACACACTATTGCACCACACAACTTACGGTTTAGGGAGGGGATGGATATATATTCAAATGGATTAGGTCACATATTATTGGGCCAACCAAATAACAAGGTAAATGGACAAAACAATAATCTAAAACCACAAATCAATCACAACAACCAATCCAACTCCAACTTGGACCTTCCAAAAGTGTCGGTAGTATTCGAGTCGAGTCAAGTTTATGGTGTCGATAAATTTTCGACACCTATTTTTCATCATCTCCCAGATTTATTGGGTTTCAAAAAACCCAAAAAGGGTCAATTAAAATTCAATGATTGTATAGAAAAAAAAAAGTTCATTGCTTGTTCGATTTGTGAGATTCTGATTGATATCTGGTAGGATCCCTCTTTCTGAACTGTCAATATCTCTTCTTCAGATATGTTAACAAACTTTTCTAGATGAGCAACCCATTATTCTCCATTCTTTCTCCTCCACTCATAAGTTTTCGAAGAAATTTTTGTGTAGTTTTTATACTGATCAATGAGCATGAAAATGAGCAGAGAAGCCTCGAAAATGCAGTTTCATGTATTAGTAGTTGATGATAGCCTCATTGATAGAAAGTTGATTGAGAGACTCCTCAAAACTTCTTCTTATCAAGGTATTTTTACATTGATTATTGCATTATGCTTAAAAGCAATTTTGTTTTTTCTATTTAATTTTGATATTTATTATGTGCAGTTACAGTAGTTGATTATGGAATAAAGGCTCTAGAATTTCTGGGGTTGATTGAAGATGAGAGTATTGATTCAAACTCAAATGCTACTACTAGAAATCATCATGTATGATTCAAACTGTAGTGTATTTTAGTTTAGCCTTTATATGAATGCTATGGGCTTCGTTTGTATTAGATTTTCTGGTTGAATACCTTTTTTATGTTTATATATTTATGTTCATCACAGGAAGTGGAAGTTAATTTAATTATTATAGATTACTGTATGCCTGGAATTATTGGTTATGAACTCTTGATAAAGATCAAGGTAACTGTTGAGAAGTAAGATTAATAACATCAGCTCTACCTCAGCTCCAGCATCAGTATTGATTCAGCCATCTCATTGGTGAATCAGTATTATCCATCCAAGTTGTCACTAACGTGTTTCCCTTGATGTTTTGGACCACATTTCTGTTGTACTATTATTCCTAACATAATCCATAAATCATGGAACTGCCTAACAGCCTTATCTTCTAGATTATTCCTTAATTGTGCAATGTAATATATATTCATTAGCTCAATGAATAATACTTACAGTTCATCACTATCATATTACCTAGTCTAAGAATTTAACTGTAACCATTTGCATTAGAATTGTTTTCTCGCCCATGGTGGGCAAGAAAAAATGTGCATACAGCTGATGTGGCAGCTGTCATTGTTGACAATTCAACAATACTGATGGCTTGACTCTTAAAGGCTATGTTGATTCTGACTTTGCTGGTGATAAAGACAGTAGAAAATCAACTATAGCATACTTCTTTACCCTAGGTGATAATTGCATAACTTGAAAATCTCAGCTGCAACCTTTAGTGACTCTGTCTAGTACGGAAGTTGAATATGTTGTCATAACCGAGGCGGTTAAGGAATTTATATGGTTAAAAGGAATCTTAAAAGAATTGAACTTCATGCATGATATACCTATTATGTTTACTGATAGTCAAAGTGCATTGTCACTTAGTAAAAACCCTGTTTATCATGAGAGATCTAAACATATTGAGGTGAAGTATCATTTTTTTCGTGAGAAGCTGTCTCAAGGTGAAGTCGAACTTGTTAAGATTCATACTGATAGAAATCCCTCTGATGTGGGAACAAAAATTCTGTCTGTAGGAAAATTAAAATTATGCTTGTCTTTGCTGCATATTGATACTGGTTAATTTTTCTTGCAGGTGATGATGATGAACAGTCATTCCATGTGCAAATTCGCAACTGAGAGAGTGTATGTGCTACGAGAACCAAGGTGAAGAATGTGAGTATTGTGGTCCTCCTAACACTTGTGGGCTGGTGCTATTTATGTCATTTGGTATGTGACTTATTATTTAGGCCATTTGTTGCCTAGGTGTCACTCACCTATTGGTGGATTTGGTTTTACCCGGATTGTGTTAGTTTGCTTTTCTTGTGACCGTTGGATGGAGATTAAGGGCTAGGATTAAATCTTGTTTGAGATATTTTTCTTGGCTGCCTTTTCTCTTTATATTCACTTGGGTTAGCATCTTTGAGACACTTCATCTCTCTTCGTGACTTCTTCTCCTTCGTTTCTCTATTAGAATTACTCTCTGCCTCCTTCTTCCTTTGACCCATGAAATCAACCTTTAGCCCATTAATTGAAGAAATCCCCGTGTGTTCTTAGGCTTGGAATAGTGGCTAAGGGGTTGGGTTTCTCAGGGGCTTAGGTCAGTGATTTTGGGTGTGATTCCTTGGCTGTTTTGGTAAACCTTTCGACTGATGATCCAAGCCAAGTGAGGATGGTTCTTTACCAATTCTTGTACTCTCTTTGGAGGGCGATTTGCAAGCATGGGAGGTTGTTCCAGAGCCTAAGCATTTTGGCCAGCAAGATAGGGAAAAAAACTGGGTATTTGGGATGATAAAAGGTAAGTAAAGTTTCTGCCCCCTTTTTGATTCTATCTCATCTATGGCTTCTATTATTCTATTGATTTCTTTATGCTATGCTTATTTAAATGTTTAGATTTCATATTGAACACTGAGGTTCTGTGATTGGATATTGAACTCTATCATTGCATGATTGAGCTGTTGAATTCGGTTAGCCTCACTTTGGAGTCTATATTATGCTTTAGGTCTAGGGTTTCGTTTATCCTCCACTAATTTGGGGTTTTTTCATTTCTATCAGTAATATATATGTATGTGCCTTCTGAGGTTTAAACAAAAACTATTACTGTTCTTTAGCATCTTGTTTTTTGGATTCAACACTGATTCCTCTGTTTTGCTTGTGTAAATGTTGGCTAGATTGGGTGATCATTGGCTCTGGCTGGCTTGCTCGATTGAGGAGTTGTTGGTATAGTTACCGTTTTTCAATAGTTAGTTGGTAAGATTATTCGAAACTCTTCGATAGGTTAAGTTTTGTATTTTTACCAGTTTATGCATGATTGCTTGGTTGCCTATTTGTGAATTATGTTAACTTAATTCTTGTAATTAATTTGTAACCTGAAAAGTTAATCTTTGGGTTAGGTTTGGTAATCTACCTTGGTTTATGAATGATTGCTTGGTTGCCTATTTGTGAATTCCGTTAGCTAAATTCTTGTGATTAATTTGTAACCTAAAAAGCATATTTACCTACATCATATATATATGTGCATTACCTAAGTTTGTATCACACTTGCATGCACATCACATAGAGGTTTCGTGATTGGATTGTTTCATTGATGTTCTTCATTTCTGAACATTAGTTTTAACTTTGCATTCATACTGCGTGTTGATCATCTGGAAAAGATTTTTTCAAAACCTTTTCTGTTACGTCCATGAGTACGGGCCACTCTTTTACAGAATCCGGATGGGTTCGAGGGTCGAATTATCGCAATTCGATGGAAAGGGGGACTACTCAATTTGGAAACAGAAAATGAGGGCCATTTTGGTCCAACGGAGAGTTGTTAAAGCTCTCGATGATCCTTATGCTTTTTCTGATGAGTTAAAAGCTAAACCTTTTGAAATTGAAGATATGAATGAAATTGCATATAGTTCTATAATTTTGCACTTATCTGATAACATTGTTAGACAAGTTGATAGTGCTAAAGATGCTAGGACTTTATGGACTGCCTTAGATGTCTAATTCTTGACTAAGACTTTTCCTAATAAGATATATCCGTTGGAAAAGCTGTTTAGTTTTAAGATGGACCCGGGGAAGGATATAGAAGGAAATTTAAGCGATTATAGCATAATTGTGAAGAGTTTAGCTCATAATGATAAGACGTTTGATGATGAGGACTTAGCTGTCATACTGTTGAATGCACTTCCCGAATCTTATAATGAAATAAAAAATGCCATAAAATATGGTAGGGATACTCTATCGTAGGATATTGTGATAGATGCGTTGAAATCAAGAGAACTAGAACTAAAAAGAGACAATAGAACTAATTTGAGAGAAGAGAGTCTCTTTGTTAGGGGAAGACCTGAAAAGAAAGAATTCAACTTCCATAACAAGAAGGGAATGGGTAAATCTAAAATGCGATCCAAATCTAAAGATAAAAGTGTAAGAAATGCTATAACTGTGGAAAGTTAGGGCATTTCAAGAAAGACTTCTTTTACTGGAAAAAAAAACAAAGAGACTTAAACGATACTGATCAAAACAATGCTGCCGTTGTTTCTAAATTCGATAGTCTACACGTCCTGAATGTGTCCGATGGAGAATTTGATAAAAATTGGATCTAGACACAGGGTGCACCTTTCACATGTGCCCTGAAAGGTCTTGGTTCTATAACTATGGAGAAGTTGAACCTAGGAAGGCCTATATGGGAGACAACAATTCTCATAATGTGGTTGGAGTTGGTGACATAGGGCAACTCAAGGAGGTTAGATATATCCCTAATTTAAAGAGGAACCTCATTTCCTCATGTACTCTTGAAGATGAAGGATATACCTTTAAATCCGAGAATAACGCTCTGAAAATCTTTATGGGATCTCTGATAGTTATGAAAGGACCCAAGAGGAATGGGTTGTACTATCTACAGGGCAAAACTGAAACAACACTTGATTCAAGTCTTCTTACAGTCAGTAAAGATAAAACTGAACTTTGGCATAATAGAATCGGTCACATTGGGTTTAAAGGGCTAAAATCTTTAAGTAATCAGAAATTGCTTGGTAAAGATGATGTTGAAACTATGGAATTCTATGAAACTTGTGTTTTGGGTAAGTCCCATAAGGTTAGCTTTGAAGCTAGCTCTCATAGGACCAGCAGTCTATTGGACTATATTTATACTGATCTATGGGGTCCTGAGAAGCATTCCACATTTGGTGGAAGTAAGTACTTCTTATCCTTGGTGGATGATTACTCAAAAAAAGTTTGGATTTATCCTTGAAAGGTTAAGTCGGAACCTTTTGGGAAATTCAGAATTTGGCTTAAGTCTGTTGAGAATCAGTTAGATAAGAAACATAAAACATTAAGAACTGATAATGGGCTTGAATTCTGTAATTTTGAATTTGACAAATTCTGTAAACAAAAAGGGATAACAAGATACAGAACAGTTAAATACACACTTGAACAGAATGAGGTCTCTAAGAGAATGAATAGGACAATAAAGAACAAGGTAAGGTGTATGTTGATTAGCTCTGGCCTTGCTAAATGTTTTTGGGCTGAAACTGCAAGTACTGTAGCTTATCTGATTAATAGGTCACCGTCCAGCAGTATGGGGCTTAAGACCGCATAAGGGTTGTGGACGGGAGAGCCTCCAAATTCGAGTCACCTGAGGGTGTTTGGATGTGTTGCATTTACACATCAATCTGAAGGGAAACTTGAGCCTATGGCTATCAAGTGTATGATATTAGGGTACTAGAGGGTGTAAATGGCTATAGGTTATGGGTTTTAGGGGTTCAAGGCATCAAGATTATTAACAGTAGGAATTTAGTCTTTAATGAATCGAAATGCCATGTCTAAAATAGAAAACTGATGAAGCTAACAAATTTGAAACTGAGAGGAGTGTTCAGACTGAGATGAAGCTAACTAAGCTTAATTCACCTACACTTGGGGATGAAGGTAATAACCATATACATCATGAACTTGAAACTGAAACTGAACCTGAAGAGGTGGTTGAACTTCAGGATAACATTGAACAAGTTGAATTTGAACATTTTAATGATTAGCCACCTAATCAAGATTACCAGCTTACTAGGGATAGGGTTAGAAGGTAGATCAGGCCTAATCCTAGATATGAATCCCTAAGTTTGATTGAGTTTGCCTTAGTTTCAGGTGAAGCCCTTGAACAGATAGAACTTGCTACTTATGAAGAGCTATTAATGGAAATTATTCTGAAAATTGGATAAAAGCTATGGAGGAAGAAA